CGCCGCCGCCGCCGCCGCCACTCCTCCCTCCGGGGTTGTGCCCCTCTCTGCCCGCACAGACCGGCCATCTCTCCTCGCTCCCGCGCCTCGCCGCCTGTCCGGAAAAGAGATGTCCTTAGTAAACCGGGAATTCCTGGGTCATCGGACTTCCCTCTCTGGGTCCTTCGTGGCTCGGAAAGCGGGGTCCCAGGCGACCCCCGCGGCCTGTGTGTAGGCGAGGGCCCGGGGAAGAGACGGACTGGGCAGAGGAGAAGTGGAGACGTGGACCGTTAGGGCTGGAAAGCATCTGAGCAGTCGTCCATTCCACACCGTCTTACCTCGTTTGAAGATGATGAAGCTGAGTCCCAGAGACATGAAGGGACTTGTTTAAGGTCACACCATCTGTAAATGGTATAGCCAGGTGGAGAGTTCAGAGTTCCTGGCTTTCCATGCAGGGCTTGCTCATTTTCGGCGGGTGTGGCCTCTGATCGTAGGTGAAAAATTAGAAAAAAAGATGTCTTGTTTAAAGGGATAGAGAGTTACAGAACGTTTCCTTAGGGCTGTATGTAGCATATTTTGTTGTTTTCCATGTGGTTTTCCCGTAGTACACGATCAATGTCCTTAGGCCCTCCTGCTATTTTAGTGATGTCAGTTGCCATTTTGTGGTTCTCAAACTTTTGGGGTACATCCGAACCACTCCAGGGCTTGTTAAAACACAAATTGTTGGACTCCATCCCCAGAATTTCTCATGCAGTAGTTCTGGGATGTGGCCTGAGAATTTGCATTTTTAACCAGTTCTTGCAGCTTGTCCATGGACTACATTTTGAGAGTGCTTTCAAAAGTAACAGACCTATGAATCCGCTGGGAATGTTGTCCAAGAGAATCCCCAGGGTTTCCCTTACTTCTGAGTGGGTACAGGGTGAAAATTGATTTGACCATTATATGAGAGAGACAAGAAATAAAATGTGTTTTTAAGTTAATATGAAATGGATTGGGAGAAATTTATAAGAGGACATAGAATTGTCAGTTGTACTGAACACAATGTTTTCAAGCCTTTCTGAATTGAAGTTGAAGTGCTTGTGACCTCGTTTCCATTCTCTCTTGTCCTTCCTAAATCCAAACTCAGTCTCCATGACTACTCCTGTGTTTATGGTACTGTTTGTTTTCCGTCAAGAACAAATGGGAAAATAAGGGAGAATGAGGTGGTTGGACAATGACTGGAAGGTACTTGAAAGGACCAGTGAAAACATAGGGAGCAGCCTGTTCTAATCATGCACCACTGTCATTAGTAAGGGAACTGTAGTTTTCATCTGTAGTGCTGTTTGAAATCTCAGTAGTAAACCTCAAGGTAAGAAGCACTGCATTCGAGAAACATGGGAAATAATATACAGGACAAGACTGAGATCTCACAAATCTGATTGAGATAATAACTCAAGGTAGCTTATTGGCAAAACGTAACCATTGTTATCATGGTTTGCCTTTCTTTGTTTTCCCCAGGCAGTCCCCATTTTCCGTACCCTTCATAGATTAAGATGTTACTAGGAATGGTCTTCATTCCTGATGTGTTGACTAAGCAGCTGTGAAGCAGTCTTTGTCACACTGAGGAAATGTGACCCTTGTCTTTAAGATGAGGCTGAACCTGATATTTGCAGAGCTTAGCCTACTTATAATACTGCTTCTTGTAGTACTTTCTAGGACTTTTAAGCACATGTGTGATTGTAAAAGTGGTTTTAAGCAGTAAATGTTATTGAAGTAGTAATGCTTTACCACGTTAGGTAAGGTGGTTAGTTATTAAAATGAACATGTTGTTCTGAAGTTACTTTTGTTTCCTTTTCTACAGAAGAACATAGCTGTTGAAAATGACGTAAGAATAAACAAAGACAATCTTACTGACCTTTATGTCCAGCATGCAATGCCGTTGCCTCAGAGGGATTTGCCAAAGAACAGATGGGGGAAAATGATGGAAAAGAAAAGAGAACAGCACGAGATAAAAAATGAGACTAAAAGGTACTCTTTAGTGGTCTTATATGACTAAACAGTTTTGCTTATGTTTTCTTCCCAGGTAAACTTAAGTTAAAAAAATTATTTACTCAATAATTATATATTGAGCAACAGGTACTGTGCTTATCACATCGTGAATTAAACCGGCAAAATTCCCTGTTTAAATTTTCGTTGGGGCCAGGCACGGTGACTTATGCCTGTAATCTCAACACTTGGGGAGGCCAAGACAGGAAGCTTACTTGGGCCTAGGAGTTCAAGCTTGGGCACCGTAGTGAGACCTTGTCTCTACAAAAAATAAAAAATTAGCCAGCAACTCAGGAGACTGAAGCAGAAGAATCACCTGAGCCTAGAAGGTCAAGGCTAGGGTGAATCGGGATCATGCCACTGCATTTCAACCTAGAAGACAGAGTGAGACCCCAACTCAAAAAAAAAAATTCATTGAGAGAAGCATTAACAGAGTTAAATATATGGTATATTATATAGCAATAAAGGCTAAGGAAAAGGGTAAAATAGGGAGAGGGATTACAATTCTTGACACAGTAGCCAGGAATGACCTTACCAGGAAGTGACATTTCAATAGAGAGACCTGTAGAAAGTAGAGGGCGAGCTAACATTCCAGGCAGAATACAAGAGCCTGGACCAGTAGTGTGGTGATCATATGCCAGGTACAACAAAGTGGCCATCGGGGCTGGATGAAGAAGAGGAGGGAGGAGGTGTCTTGGGGGCAAGTGGGGAAAATTGTCAGATCACGGAAACCTTGGTATGTCATTGTAAGAATTGGCTTTACTCGACCATGAGAAACACTTAAGGGTTTTGAGCAAAGTGGTGACAATATTAGATGTACATTGTAACAGAATCACTCTGGCTGCTGTCCTAAGTGATTTAAGGGGCATGTGTGCAAGGGGGAAAGCAAAGAAATCAGTTAGGAGGCTGTGCTGTAATCCAGGCAATAAACGATAGTATTTTTGACTAAGGTAGTAAATGCTGTAGATTGAGGTCAGGTTTTGGAGGTAGAGGCAACAGAACACTGAATTTTTTGCAGAAAGATGAGTCAAGTAAATAGTACATCTTAAACAGATGTACTATTTAAGATTTTTTAATTCCTGAAACATTTTTATAAAAGCAGAAACAAATGAATTTCCTTTTTTAGAGAAAATTACATTTGATTGATCAATGATAATTAGCGAGGACAGTGTCCTAAGATCCCTTAGAGAGCCAGTTATCTCTTCCATGTCTAATATCACAGGGGGCTGCTGTTGATGAGTTACTTAATTTCTGGAGCTTCCTGTTTATAAGTCACTGAAAAAGACATTCAAGATAGTGGGAGAAGACAGAGTAGGAGGGCTGGGACAAGGGGGGAGCTGTAGCTCTGAGTTAATTTGTGGTTTTAATCTGTGGTTACAAAGAAAAAATCATGATTGAGATTATTCCCTGAGCATGAAGGATAGTTGAAGAATGCATCTGTGCACATTGTCCTTTGGAAAATAAATACATGTACAGGCTTGCCTTTGATCTAGAACATATTTCAGTTCAAATTAGGCATCATTTTAGCTTGTGGCCACATGTTAGTACAGGCTATGTGTTAGTGTTAACTTTTGTAAGTCTGGGTTGTGGTGCATATACCTTTTAATTTACTCTCCTCTGGCTCTTAATCAAGTAGTATTTTCTTGATCACAGTCAGGCCCACTGTTCCAATAAGCAAAACTTTCAATGCTTGTTATACTTTCCTTTGAAGCAAACTTTATTGGACTGTCCATATTAGTTCCTCTATATCCTTCTGGAAAGGATCTTTGATTCTGTTTTTAAGATTTGCAATTATCAAATCAGCATTAAAACAAGAAGGATTCAGGAGTTCATCTTGTATTGTTTTACATATCAAGGTACCAAGATTCAGAGAAGTGCTGTTGCATGCCCAAGGCCACACAGAGCTATAACCAGATCCATAATACCGTAATGAGGTGCTTCTCTAACTTTTTTAATGTGCCTTTGAATATTGTAACATGTTGAATTAAAAGGTTTTTTGCATAAACAAATCTATTGCATAACTTGAGGTATAATGAGTAATAAACAATGAATGCTTGGATTATTTACCTTTACAATTAAGAGTGGAAGTTAGATTTTCAGAATCCAAATTTGAAGTCTCTCTCCAAAGTTTACAATTAGAATTGTACAAACGTTACAGTTACAAAAGGTTTAGAAAATGCCTTGGCTTTAGAGAGCTTTAGTGAATGAAATAGAATGTTGTGACTCACTGTAGACTGCCACTGTAGTAGTCTTGGTATAGTTTTATAGTCGATTATCCTTTCTAAATAATAACTGATTGCATGGTCAAGATAACTCTATCAATAAACTGGTGATTTTTTGTTGTTGTTCTTGTTCTTGTTTTTGGTTTTTTTTTTTGAGTTGGAGTCTCACTCTCGCCGGTGATCCTTCCGCCTCAGCCTTCCAAGTAGCCTGAACTACAGGCACACGCTACCATGCCTGGCTAATTTTTTTTAATTTGTTGTAGAGATGAGATCTCAACAAGTTACCTCAGCTGGTCTCGAACCCATGGGCTCAGGCAATCCACTCGCCTCGGACTGCCAAAGTGCTGGGATTCTGTTTTAGCTTGTAGGGTTAGATGACTAATTGATGTTTTAAGATAGCTGTATCTTGTATATACATTAAAGCTAACTTTAAAATTTTACACATAAATATTTTAAACTATGAAATAAAACACTAGGAAATCCTGTTTTTTTTGTTTTTTTTTTTTTGAGTTGGAGTCTCACTCTTTGTCGCCCAGGCTGGAGTGCAGTGGCCGCTCCCGGCCTCCGCAGCCTCGACCTGCTGGGCTCAGGTGATCCTTCTGCCTCAGCCTTCTAAGTGGCTGGAACTACAAACATGTGCCACCATGCCTGGCTGGTTTTAGTGATTTGTTGTAGAGATGATGTCTCACCAAGTTGTCCAGGCTGGTCTTGAACCCCCAGGCTCAGGCAGTCCTCTCGCCTCAGTCTCCCAAAGTGCTGGGATTACAGGCTGAGCCACCGCACCCAGCCAGGAAATTCTTTAGAGTGAACATAGGAAATTTTATTTCCAGTAGTCCCACTTAGAATAGATTGGTCTTATCAGTAAATATTTTTGATTATTATTGTGTTAACTTTTAATTCCAATGAAATGGTTTGCCATTCCAGACAATATTTTTCAAGAGTGTATCTCTTTCGTTTCAGGAGTAGTGCTGTAGATGGATTAAGGAAAAGACCTCCCATTGTATTTGATGGAAGTTCAACAAGTACAAGCATCAAAGTGAGAAAGACAGAGAATGGAGATAATGATCGACTCAAGCCTCCTCCTCAGGCAAGCTTTACCAGTAATGCCTTTCGAAAATTATCAAATTCCTCTTCAAGTGTTTCGCCCCTAATTTTTTCTTCCAATTTGCCTCTGAACGATAAAATGGAACACAATAATAATGACACTAAACAGAACCATGACTTAATGCATAGAAAAAGCCCTTCAGGCTCTGTGAAGTCACCACCTTTGTCCCCTGTTGGAACTACTCCCGTGAAGTTAAAGCGAGCTGCTCCTAAGGAAGAGGCAGAGACCATGGTGAGTATAAGTGTGGTTTCCATTTGGCATGAGTGTGGCTGAAACCCTAGTCTAACCTCACAGCCCGAGGTGGGTCAGCTGTGCTGTATGGTGTGCTTGAACTTCGTAATGGTCTGATTTTTACATCTTACTGCTCATGTCCTTGAACCTTGGATTTTAAAATCTGTGATAATTAACGAATGTGTTTAAAAGTACACTCAACTTATTTCTGCCTAAAATATGTAAAGACCCCTTCCTGGTGGGTCCCAGCTACTCTGGAGGCCGAGGTAGGAGAATCACTTGAGCCCAAGAGTTGGAGGCTGCAGTGAAGTATGATTGTGCCACTGCACTCCAGCCTTAGTGATAGAGAGAGACCCTGTCCCCCCCATTAAAAAATATGTAAAGAGGCCAGGCACGGTGGCTCAAGCCTGTAATCCCAGCACTTTGGGAGGCCGAGGTAAGGGGATCGTCTGAGCCCACGGGTTTGAGAATAGCCTGGGCAACTTGGTGAGACCTCATCTCTACAATAAATCAAAAACTTAACTGGGCATGATAATGTGTGCCTGTAGTTCCGGCTACTTGGAAGACTGAGGCAGAAGGATTGCCTGAGTCCAGCAGGTTGACACTGGGGTGGCTGTGAGTGTGCCACTGCACTCCAGCCTGGGTGACGGAATGAGACTCCAACTCAAAAAAAAAAAAAAAGATTTACCACTTGTGTCCTCTCCAATGTACCTGCTTTGGAGGGATGGAGAAATCTGCTATGTTGTACTTTACTATATGGAGGCATTCGAATACTTGGAGTTCATGTGTTGACAAATTTGGTACAGTTAAAAAATTTATTTAGAGTCTAATTTGTGAGCTGATTTTCTCTTTCTGTTAATTTTATATATAACATAGATGTGTTTGATCTTTCCCTAGGCTCCTCATACAAGGGATTTTACTTTTAAATACTAGCAGTTTTACAGCCATTATTCTTATAGTATATATTGGCTTTATTATCATCTTCTAATTGTGCGTCAAAATGATCAAAACTTAGAGTACAAACATTCTGAAATGGACCCTGGAAAAAAAAAGCCACCTACCAGCCATGAGTTCTTTTATTAGTTCATTGAATCTTGTCAGCAGCCCTATGAAGTAGGCATGCTTGTTATTCGCTTGTCACAGATGAGGAAACAGAAGCTTAGTGACTTTAATGAAACTTGTTCAGGTTCCAGAGCTAATGAATGACCAGATTGCAAGTTGAATTCAGTTTGTTTGATCCCAGAGCACACTGTTCATAGTTATTTCAGTCACCTTTGTGGAAGAGAGGAGAAAGGTGTGGGGTAAGTGTTGGGAGAATAACCCGCATCTCAAATATTGCAATAAGAAGTTAACCTTGAGGATTTTTTTTCAAGGCTCTTAAACAGCATTTCTCTACCCAAAGAAATTTACTCTTTCAGAGGTGTGGAAAAAGAAATATATATATTTATATTTTCCACTGACTTTGGGTTGAAGAGTTGAGGCAGGAGATGGGGTAGGCAAGGAGGAAGCAGATTTGGAGCAGTGAGTGGTTCTCAACTCTGACCGCTTGTTAAGATCCCCTGAGGAGCTTCCAAAACAAAAAGAAGTAGCCTCACCCTCCTGTCCTCTGTGGATTCTGGTTTAATTGGTTATGGGATCAGGCCCAGGCATGTTTTTAAGTGCTCTGGGAAACATCTGAGAACCACAGAGCTAGCAAAATGGGAGCCATTTTCTCTAATCTCTTGAAGTGTGTTCCCACCAGATGGCAGCAGCAATCTTTCATTAGTATATTAATAATATACCTTCGTTGCTTAAAATATTCATCCTAGATATTCTCTGACATTTCTGCAAGTATGAATTGATTTCTGTTCCTGTCTTTCAGAATAACCTGAAGCCCCCAGAAACAAAGAGGAAGATACAACATGTTACATGGCCGTGAAGGAAAGTTTCCAAAAATGTAAATATAACTGTAACTGTAGTTTTTCAAGCAAGTTCCTATATATTGACAGTATTTACAGAGCTCCTGATTATTGTGGAATTTTCTTAAGAGGTTTAAAATAGGTTAAAAAAATAAAGACTTTTCTTCCCTTCCCTCCTACACTCCCTTCCTTTCTTTTTTAAAATTCTTGCCTGTCATGCCATTATTAGGAAAGTATTTTTTTTAAAACTAATGGCTTAGTATATGTCATTTATATTGACCCTAGTCAAATCATTAGCTACAAGTCTGATGTAAAGCATCCAATGAATTTTAGAAATTACTCTCATTAGTTTCTTTCAGAGTCTTTGGGGTAATTTGAGATTTTTTTAAAAACTCAAATATTTTACTAGTTTACTATTTTTATTAATTTCTTTTACCAAGCAGAAACATGTAACAGTTTATCACGGTATTTTAGTAAATATTGCCACATTCATCCTCAAAGGTTCACCAAGAAAAGCATTTTTGTGATACTGCTGGTAATCTTCAGAATATACAGATGGAATTGCTGTTCTTTAATTGCTGACATTGCTTCTTCCCATAAAAAGCGAAACAGAAATCAGTGCTTGCCATGCTCCTTCCCTTGAAGTGGTGTGTGTCATGAGTTGACCTTGAGAACGTCTTGTAATGCAGCAGTCCTGCCTCTTCGTGAGCAGTCTGTGATCTCACTCCGTGGGTTCAGCTGTTACCCCTTGTGGAAGCTTATCTTTTCAAAATGAACTTGATTTTTTAAATTTTTAGGCTGAGTAATCATGTTAGAGGTGGTACTTGATGGCAGAACGATTAGAAAATTAGGGGGCTAGAACTCCAGAAGTTGTAAGAATCCAGGAAGTATCGCAGTGAGGCGGAAAGTTGGTGTGAACTGGAGGAGGTGGTGGAAGAGCTGCTGGAGTCAGAAGTCCCTGCAGGGCGCAGCACAGCAGAGTCGCGTCTAGCTGGGATGTGCGGCCCCCTCGGGTGTAATGTGGACCGCTTTCTTCAGGGCTAGCCCACGCAGGATTACCTACTAAGAGTGTTTGCTTATTTTTATTTAAGTGACATTATCTCTTCCGTTTTCTAATGGAAGTCAGTGAGAAAGTAGGGTTTACCTTTATTCATGAGATCTAGTTTCTACTATTCTATGTGTTTCTAACCAAGAGCAAAGGATATTTCATACTTTTTTCTTTGCATGATTGATCTTCAACTTGGAATTTGCCTTTTTCAGTATGTTTTAGAGGAGTCTTACTCCTCTTTTGATTTGTTAAGCATTTTAGTTCAGCTATTGAATAGCCTTCCAAAAAATTAATTCAGCCTTGCAGGTAAGTACTGTACTAAGACTTTAACCCTATAGTTTTTTTAACCATTCTGCCTTTATTCCAGACTGTAAATCTGTACAAATGAGATAAATTTGATATATACTAAGTGTTGCATAAATTGTTAAGTTACGGTAAATTGTTAGATATATAGTTATCTGCAGGGCTGATATATGTAATATTGTTGGTAGGCAACTGATCTTATACATAAATACATGTAAAGGGACATTTTAAAAGTACAAATTTTAAGGTAGAATGGCAAATTATATTTTATATTCAGTTTCCCCTCTTCTTCCATCTGCATTTCTCTCTTAGGTGAGAGAGTTAGCCATTTGACAGTGTTAAATCAGTGGGAACTTAATTTTAGTTACTCAATGAAATTAGTTTTTAATTTGTATATTTAACTTACAGGGTAGGTTGGTAATAACAGCTGATCTGTGTATTATTGTTGCTTCAAATTGAAGTTTATATTATGAACATTCAGAATCAATGCTCATGTAGCAGCATATTATTGAGCTATTTTGAGTTTGAAATACGGAGAAGCGACCATGTATTACATAAGCCCACTGTCTTAGAGGGCAGTACCTCCTGAAGGCAGATGGAGTAGCTTGTCCTGAAATGTCTCTCTGCCCAGTGAAGCATGAGAGTGGTGGGATCTAGAGCCGCGCATTGGAGCCTTAGGTTTTGGCATGTTTTGGTTTGCTTGAAAGGTTAGGAGCAGTTGATCTGAACGACAACTTTGCAGAACGCTTGGCTCACTGACGTGGGTTAACACTGTTGCTCTGCTCTTGATTCGGGATTCCAGGAGAGCCAGCTTTTCTTACTCTTGGGGAGGTACGTGAATGGCATTCGAGTTACGGGTGGCTGGTGAGGGGCAGCTGCAGGCACCAGACCCCTTCCTGCCGTCAGCAGGCTGTCCTTGTTCTTCTCCATCTTTCCCTCTTTGTTCCCTCCTGTCCTCTTTCCCCTTTTCCTGTACTTCTCTCTTTCATCCCCCTTCCTCCTTTCTGTGGATTCTAAGCTTCTGGCTTAGGTGTGCAAGTCATATTGCTGGGCCCTGCCCATTCACTGAGGGTAGAGAGAGGCTGACCTCAGTCCTCTTTTACTTGAGGATCATAGGCTGCTGTGTGAATTCTGGAAAGTCTTAAGACCGTGCAGCACCAGGCCTTCAATTTCTTCCCAATGACTGTCAAGAGAGTACAGTTTTCCAAAGTCGCCTTATTCATCTACACAGCTACCAGGCACTTTGGAGAGTTGGTTCACCTACTACTGTGAGGGGATAATGTATTTGCTAGTATTAAAATTCTTTAGAATTGGAATTATTGTTTGAAATAATATTTTGGTTGACTTAGTTTTTGAGAGACGATTCTTAAACTGATCTAGAGACTCATTCAATAGCAATGTGACCTTTTAAAAACTTACATTAAGTAAAACTGCCAGTAGATTCAGTCATATATATGTAAGAGCTTCTTCTATTTACTGCTGTTGAACTTCAGTAATTTTTAGAGGCTACAAAATGGTCAAAATGTTTTTAAGTATGCTCTTTTATTAAATGTTTGTGCAGGTTTTGTAATTGAGTACAGAAAAGTTTAACCTTGTAATGTACATTTTTGTATGTAAAAAGTCTTTTAAGTAGCCTTATCCTTATGTAAATAAACTGAATAAAACTATCTTGAGTAGCCTTGTTATTCACAAAAAAATGCAATGGAAAACTGCTCTGTAATGACTTGATCTGTTTTTATTTGAGTAAACTATATCAAAGTATTCTTCATAGTACAACTTTTTCTACCTGGGATTGAGATCAGGTATAATCCAAATGGTGCACCGACATCTTCGGGCCCCTGCCTTGAATGAGAGGGTGGCTAGCTTGGTCTGGTGTTTGGGAGGTCATGGTGCTACAGAGATGGCCACTATGCCTTGAGGGCTGGAAACAGAAATCTCTGAACCCTCTCATGTAATAAATCTTCTTAACAAAAAGAGATACCAGAGTTGAGGTATTTTTTGTGTTTGGAGTTATCTGAAAAAAGCTAACTTCTAAACTAGTATCTTAATGTTATACAACATTTGGAGACTGAACTAAGTTAACTCAGGAAAAGACTCCAGTAACTCTTTTGAACTTAAAAAGTACATCCTTCTTTTTTTTTTTTTTTTTTTTTGTCTGATGAAAGAGAATCCTTACTTGCATTTAGATTGTTTTTACTAATGTGCATTTTACTAACTGAAGTGGTTTATTTTTTCAGTTGTGTGATAACTTGGTCATCTTTTTTTATTGTGCAATGAAAAATAAAGATGTAAATTGCCTGTGTGTTTGCCTAACTACGCTAGCTCCTGGGTGTGAACAAGGCAGGTTAAGTTCCTGCTCCCACAGGGAAGACAGACAAGTGAACTATAAAGTAATGGATGATTGTAATGATAGAAAGCAAAACAGGATCATGAAATGGTGAGGGAAAAGGAAAGTGGGGTGAGGAGCTACTTTAGTGGCTAGGAAAAGCCTCTGAACATACTCTGTTCTGAAGGAAGAATGACTGAGGAGCACCTGTGGAAAGGCTTCCGGAAAAGCATTCCTACATATGGTCCATTTTCAGTGGCTACATATATCCTATCAAGGGTGAAGTCTGTTTCCCACTACTGATGAGGACTGACCTCGTAACTTGCTTTGGTCAAGTGAATGTTTCTGCTCTCACTTTTGCGCCTCTGTTGCACCATGTGAAAAAACCCAGGCTGGCCCACTGGAAATGTCAGCCCAGCTGACACTAGCACAAGCTGCCAGGCATGTGACCACTAGTCACCCAGCCCCAGTTTGCTGCCAGATGACTAGCTGTATGGGTGTCCCAGGGGAGATCAGTCCAAATTGTTGACTTTTGAACTTCAGTGAATACAGTGGGGATGCGTGAAACCGCTAAGTGTTGCAGGTAGTTTGCCGTCCAGTAGTAGATACCAGGTACCAGGCAAGGGCAACATTTGAAAGCCCTAAGACTTAAAAGGTCTTCAAAACAGACTGGTGTGGTTCAAGTGAATGAAAATGGGGTTGAGGGAGGTATAAAACGAAATCAAAGATGGTGTACTGGAGCCAGATTACATATAGCCTCACAGAGGCCATCCATGATAAGGACTTTGAATTTGATTCTAAAAGCAATTGGAAGTAGTTAACTGTTCAGACTTAACCAAGCATTCAGGTTATTAAAAAATAAAGCTAGTTAGACAAGTATATACAATCCCTAAACATCTTTTTTCCTCTAGTAAAAATGTCCATGTTTTGCTCTGTTTTTTAGTCTTTGGGTAAATAATTTGAACTGAAATATTTGTCTTTGACTAACAGTTAAATCCTTAAGAGACTGTGAGACACTTTACTCGTTATAGTGAAAGACAAATATTTTTCACAAATATAAAAACACCATATCTACTACCTGAGCCTTCTGTTATATCTCTTCTGCCCTGCTATATATTTTTTCAAATAAACTTTTTAGAAGACTTTTAGATTTATAGAAAAATTGCCATGTTTTCATATGCCTCTCACCCAGTTTCCCTGTTAACCATTTGCGACCACTGATGTGGATTTATGTCATTCCGTGTTCTGTTCCTGGTTGCCACCGATGTGAATTTACCTCATTGTGGGAGATTGTCTTTTTGAGGTTTATAATCTGAATAAAAATGCAAAGTACGGAATACTTGAGTGGTATCTGAGGCAAATACTAGATATATCTGCAACTTGCAGCTGTATTGTGAAAAAGATGACAATTTAGAAAAGACCATTTCACTTGTGCCTAACAACAGAAGTTTGTAGCAACCAGCTTCAGATTCTTTTTCTTTTCACCTACTCTCAGT